TTTTTTCTAGAATGTCAGAAATATTTATAAATATTTTATTAATGCTGATGGAATCAAATTCACTGTCTGATCTAGGATCTATAGAGGTATTGTCACTGGAGTATACTGAAGAGAAATGCTTAGCAAAAAGATTTACAATTGAATTGCCTTCAGTTGCAACCTCATCATTGAAGAATATCTTATTGGGAATACCATCCTCCTGATTTTTGGAGCGAATATAATTCCAGAATAATTTGGGATCAGAGATAATTCCGTTTTCAACTTAAGAAATATAGTTATTGTAGCATGATGATGATTGTTCTTTGCATAATGAATCCTCCATTGAGTTGGTGTGTTTATATTGTTTATGAGCCTTTTTTTTTTTTTTTCAGTATATATAATAATAAAAACCAAAATTAAAAAGGTTGGTTTTAGTTTGGGCTTTCTGACTGATAAGGATCAGTTTGGCCTTTCTGACTGATAAGGATCAGTTTGGGCTTTCTGGTTTTGAAAATTTGGTCTTTCTGACTGATGGAGGTTGGTTTCAGTTTGAGCTTTCTGGTTTTTGATAACCTGGGCTTTTTGGCTGAAGGAATTCCATCTATCATGGTTAAGTTGATATGCATTTGTGGAATGAATTTGTTGTGATTCATGATTGAGTATACTATCAAGGTGAAGTTGAAGCTAAAGTTGATTGGAGACACGTTTGACTTACAAACCTCTGAGCTGTCAAATACGTCGTTAACATATTTGAAGACACGTTTGATAAAAAAAAAACCTCTGAGCTGCCATATAACTGTTCTTTTGGAGACACGGTTGACTCACAAACCTTTGAGCTGTCGAATACGTCGCTTACAAATTTGAAATCATAGGTATATCAAAAAAATCATGAGCTGCTACTACTTGGAGTCTGTCGAGCGACGAGAGTCGGAAGAGCGCCGATGTCATCACATATCAAGAATCAACTATAACATGTTAGTCCGTTTAGGGGTAATTTCATCATCGGCGACATCAGCTTCGGCATTCTATGGATAAACGAGTTTTGGTAGAGGTTTGTTCGACGTGTCTTGGGTTTACACCTGGGCCGTATGGCAAGGTGGGTTTACACCTGGGCCGTATGGCAAGGTGGGTATACACCTGGGCCGTATGGCAAGGTGGGTTTACACCTGGGCCGTATGGCAAGGTGGGTTTACACCTGGGCCGTATGGCAAGGTGGGTTTACACCTGGGCCGTATGGCAAGGTGGGTTTACACCTGGGCCGTATGGCAAGGTGGGTTTACACCTGGGCCGTATGGCAAGGTGGGTTTACACCTGGGCCGTATGGCAAGGTGGGTTTACACCTGGGCCGTATGGCAAGGTGGGTTTACACCTGGGCTGTATGGCAAGGTGGGTTTACACCTGGGCCGTATGGCAAGGTGGGTTTACACCTGGGCCGTATGGCAAGGTGGGTTTACACCTGGGCCGTATGGCAAGGTGGGTTTACACCTGGGCCGTATGGCAAGGTGGGTTTACACCTGGGCCGTATGGCAAGGTGGGTTTACACCTGGGCCGTATGACAAGGTGGATTGACACTTAGGCCTAGTGGCAAGGTGAGTTGACACCTAGGCCTGGTGACAAGGTGGGTCGACATCTCGACCTGGTAAAAGTGGGTTGACACCTAGGCCTAATGGCAAGGTGGGTTAACAATTGTGCTCTCTGACGAGCTCTAAATGACATAAAATTTAGTCAGGATGAAACCGAGCTTGTTGGGCCGAGAGCGTCCCAATCTCAGGATGGCCGTGTTAGCATCTAGCAACTAGATGCGCCACTGCTCAGTTGAATGTGCTTAGATCAGAGCCTATGACAGACGTGTGTAAAGACTGGTTCATATAGTATTCGGCTGATGGCAGCCGAGTGGTGAACAAGTGTAACCCTTGTCCATGTCATTTGTGCTCGTGTTTATTATATTATGACCATAATATAACACTACGAAAGCGCTGAAGGGACATGGTAGATTTTTTTTTATCTCGTAATAATGAGTTAGTTATCTCATTATTATGAGATAACTAACTCATTATTACGAGTTAAGTATCTCATTATAACGAGATAAAGTATCTCATTATTATGACTTAGTTATCTCATTATTATGAGATACCCTAATTCATTATAATGAATTATTAATATGCAACGTTGCCAACATGTACTGATTTTCCTATTTAGTGAGAATAGACAATTAGACATCTCAATGAGAATGTATAGATACAATACATATAGGCATAACCTACTCATATAAGTTCATTTTGCAAAATCTATCATATTATACACCTACCTGACTCATTTGTGAAAATATCATTGATAATGATCAAGATCATAAAAAAAACAAGAGTGTGTAGATACAAAAGTCTTAAAAAAATCAGAACGATAGGTACATGGTAAAAATATTAGATTTTAGTTTCTGTGATCCCAGAACCCACAGAGTATCTCTTTACAGTCTCTACTCGAGTAGTCTTCTCGACGACCTTCGTTGAGTCGTCACAATCGAATTATTTCGATAATGAATCAAGCGACTTCGATAGGTATTCGTTAAAAAATTACAGAGATAAGTCAACGAATAACAAAATCAGTCAAATATATCTACAGGGTGATCCACGGTGGATGGCCTATTAGAAGTATCTGGAGAACAAAAATACAGAACATCCTGAAAATTGAGATGCTTTGATAATTGAACATTCTCTATCCGTCTATAATATTTTCATCGATACAGTATTGCCACTTCTATCAGAAACAACTAGCAACTTTGTTATTTCAAATGGAACACCTTTGTATTTTATTGCGTTTTTAGATTCTTCCTAATGAGCTGATTTCATCAATGTATCGCACATTTGGCAACACTGTATCGATGAAAATAGATAGAGAATGTTCAATTATCAAAGCATCCCAATTTTCAGAATGTTCTGTCTTTTCGTTCTCCAGATACTTTTAATAGGCCATCCACCCGTGGATCACCCTGTATACAGGGGGACTGGTAATTCGATAAATTCCTTTGAAGATGTGATAAGGGAGGTGGTAAGGACTGACTTTAACAGGCCCTGATATGTGAAGGTAGATGATGGAGGTCACATATAGGTACGTATTAATAAACAATACGGATCATAACGGGTGCCAGGATGAAGCCAAAAATATGAAACAAATGAATATCCATAAGGATTTGGTGGCATGATACGCATGCGCCATGCGCTATTATAGTAGTCATCAAAGACATGCGTTTCGGTGGACAATGACGTTTACTAGCCTTTCAATCAAAGCAGTATATGTGTCTGATCGTTTCAAAACTTTTCCTTATGGATAGTCATTTGTCTTCAAAAATCGGCTTCATGTTTCGCTATGGAAACAGATAGAGATTATCCGTATTGATTATTAATACGTATATGGGAGGTCAAGGTGTAGAATAATCCTTGGGTGTAGACATCGTCAATACATCCTTCACTTTCCGTCCTTATTGGCGGTAATCAATGTTACCAGGTGGCGCTCGGTTTTCATCGTTCCATGTCAAAGCCACGTCAAAACCGGGGGAAAACAAACTCAATTCTCACTCGATCCCATTATTATAGTGCCATTAGCTTGTGTACTGTGTACTGATAAGAGTGATAACACTTTATGTCATTGACAAGTTTGACAACTACAGCTACAGCAAGATGTATGCAATGCACTTTATCCATAGACAACAGTTTGTTTTCCGCCAGTTTGAAGTTCGTATTATGTATCCTAGATGTCGCCCACTTCGTGAATCTCGCGAATAGATTCAAAAAGTACTGTTGATGTCAGAATGATTCGCTTTGGTCCCATTTTTGTTGAGATATGGAATAGGCGATGAGCCATATATAGAAATAGTACATTGCCTTTATCTAAGCGAAAAACATATTCTTGTCCTTGTCTGGCAAAACATATGGTTTGCTTCAAAATCGTTTGTCGTTATGTTTGATTGTCACTACTTGTCTAGTGTCCGTACTCTAATATACAAAAAACGTCAAAACAGCAGTGTCAAGTACATTTAGGAACTCTACCCTTGGCATAGAATCAATAAACTCAATGTATAAGCAATGAACTCAATACAACTTCAGTTCATTGTGTATAAGTTCAATGCATAGAATGTGAAAGTTTGACTTGTTTTCCCGTAGTTTTAAATGTCATCAGATCGTCATTTAATGACCTTTTCCGTCGACCTCGTATTAACGACTAAGTTTAATGTATATGAAATCGTTCATTAATGACCCCTATTAATGGACGATTTGTCTATTAATGTACGATTGTTTTATAGGCAACCAAACATACACAGTGTGCATTCATTGTTTATGCTATAACTTACGGAATCTGCATTTAAATCGAAAATATGGATTTCATTGAAGATTTTCTGTTAACGGGTTCGCCTTTCCAAGTTTCTGACACGATTTTAATCCCTGTTTTCTAACAGAAGGAATTTATTTCCTATGTTGATCATTTCGACAAATGTCAAATGACACTAATGTCAGTAACAATAAGGCTACTGGGTGATTCTTAGCAGTATCCGGATGGATGTAGAATTCGCGAACCAAGTTTTCTTCATTGCAGGAGAAATAAGAAACATAGTCGACGGAAAAATTTTGTAACCAACTTGTATATTAAAAGGCGATTAATGATCTCGAACATTAACGCACTCGCTTCGCTCGCACGTTAAAATATCTCGATCATTAATCGTCCTCATTAATACACTAGTTGGTTAAATAACTATATCTAATCTATCTAACCTAAGGCGGCTAGAATAAACATTCTTATTGGGAAATAAATTCGGAAAATTACCTTAGGTAACGAAATTTTAAGAAAAGTTCACCCTCGCAATGATTGCCAGCCACCCACACACGTAGTATTTGAGTTGTGCTTTTGAAGAAAAAATGTAATCTCGCAGCGTGCGATGAAAGTCAGAATATTGGATGTAGTGTACGGAAACTGTCTGCAGGCAGCAGGAACTCGTAAATTACCAAAATTTCGTTTTGTCAACTGTCATTACTGTCAAGTAAATAACCTCAAAACCTCATAATTTTCTTGTTTTTCAGATTTTCTATAATTTTGAAATAAATTGCTTGAAAACCACATTTCCTATAGTGTATTGTAAATAAAAAATGTTGGAAGGCTGGTACTGCCGATCTATCGCTAATGAGGCAGCAGCTGCAGAGGAAGAGGAGCGAGTGATGGAGGAATCCAAATTTAAAAAAGAGTACAAGTATTTGAAGAGGAAGTTTCAAAATTTGGTTTATGTAAGTAGTCAGAATTGGTTTGGTCTCCGGTTCATACTTGATTTCAGGAGAATGAGGCATTTCAACAAGCTCTTAGAACTGCTCAAAAACGATTGTTAATTGTTACCAGGGATCGTACCTTTTTATTGGATAGATTACTTATGCATGAAAAAGTGGATCACAGTACATCTGAATCTGAAGATACTGAATCATCAGATGATGGAGAAATTGCCAAATCAGAACCTCTACGAAGGTATGTCTCAAATGAAGATAACCTTGTATATTTTATTCCTCAATTTACAGAAGGAGAGATGTAAGTTCCCATGCTAATACTCACCATATTCAATCAGGAAAGGGAACTTCAATGGTAAAGAAAAAAAGACCAACTGCACCAAGACTTCCCAAACAAGTTCCTCATTCTGTGGTGAGTGGAAAATTATTACATGTCAAATATAGACAACTCTCCAAATATCAATAGCAAATTAGGATACTCTACTGTCTACTAGTTGGAGTTGATCAAGAATTGATAGGTGATTTAATGATCCTAGTAAGTTGACAATACCAATTTAGGCTGTTCATATGGAAACTGATTTCAGCAACTGCAGATGCCATCTTCAGGAATTGTTCTGTCAGATGGTCACATGACACCTGAAGAAGTTGAGAGGCACTTACAATCTCAGAGCTTCATGGAATTTGTTCCAGAACGAGCACCTCCCACTGTGCCAACTGAAATGTTCAGTAATGAACCATCCTTAGATAGGTATATCATTTTTTTACTTGGACAGTTCAGTTATATTTTAGTGAAAATCCATCCATCCAATCCATTTTCTGGATTAGATATTTGTTGATGATTCTCAATTTTAGAAATCATCAGTTTCTTTGATAATAATTGCCCATTTTCAAATATTCTAGATCAATGTGGCTAATTTTCAATTTTTTATTTTCAGTGAATCAAATGATGTAGGAGAACTAGAAACATCTCCAAGTAACATTGGAGAAGAATTGAGTATTGATATGATACAGGAGTAACAATTTCCAATATTTTGTGATTCCTTGTATTGTATATACCCCTTTTACTTCTGAGTCTATAAAGTTTTGAATGTTTATAATAAGGCATCATTTCTGTCATTGGGTTACTAGCAGAGAAGAGAGAATACTAGATATAAAATCAAAAATGGCTTAATTTTTTCTAATTTATTGTATATGGATGTGATCACTATAAAATAATTTTATTTCAGCTTCTAGTAATTGAAAAAACAGTGAAAAACTTGAGTGAGTAATCATTAATATTTTCAAATGAAATGATAATTGAAAGGGGACAATTCTCATCATTAATGCTTCCTTTATCATCATATTGAAATTTCAAGAACAGAACATGGTGATGAAAAACATAATTGACCCAATGATGATGGTATAGTAGAAGTAATAGTACCTTAATCAAGGTATGTAATAGTTATTTGTTTTACCAGGCAGGAAATCACAAGATGTTATGTTCTGGCTTTTCAGAGCCAAGGCATAGTTCAGGCTCTGGCTAGGAAACCAGCCAATAAAGATGAATATGAAACAAACAACTACTTACTATATGCACATCTTATCTTTCCCCATCACATCAATTATTCCAGACCTATTGGCGCCCAGTTTCTCTTAGAGTGCACAAAAGGAAATCCCTATAATGATGAAGAACCTTAGGGGAGTTGCTTCAGAGCTAAAGAGCTGATCAGTGAATTTTATGTGGAGATAAAAACAAAATGGTCCTTCAGTGTAGGAACATTTGAAAATATTTTCGAGGTAGTCACTCCAAAAAAAGTGGATATATCACAGGTTTGCTAGTACTAATGATGGAAATAAGTAGATGGTGTACTTACTGATGTGCTTTTGTTTCAGAAATTCTTCTCCACCTCCTAAGAACAATATTTTCGGTGGTTGTCGGATTGTGACATTGCACAATTATGACATCTGTCAATTTCTAAATTGCTGCAGATTTTTCGAATTTATAGTGAAATGAACCCACTTTTACATGTTCTGCATACCTAAAATGCAATTTGTCATTTTATTTTCACTCATCACAGCCATTGAACTCATTGTAAACAACTTGAGTTCATTGGTCACAGCAGCAATAGCAGCATCACCATCTAGCGGATTGATGATTTTCGGTACTTCGACTTGTGCAAACCGGCAAAAATAAAAAAATCGCGCTCGAGAATGTCCAGGTGACTGTTTTTTTTTGCAACTTTTTTGCTCCCCCATTTCATAATGTCAGGCTCAAACCGTCAGATTATTGAAAAGCACTACACTTTTCTGCATTTAATTGACTTCTGACGCGCTCGATATATAATTTCACAAATATCGATATATGATTTCAAAAATATCCAAAACTATCGATATGTGAAATCTAATATCGCGCAATTCGCGCAGCCCTATTCGACACCATATAAAGAGCCCAGGAATGGTGGGAGTACCTCACAAGGTGCAAAAGGTTACCCCCCTTATATTATTCTTCCGCGCTCAAGTAAATCACAAAATCCCCGCTTGGGATCTACTGATGTTCCATTGATAGTCCCATTTTATACCATATGGGCGCAGACGATTTTCAAACGTCGCATTGAAATCGCAAACCTGCAATTTTTTTACACCTTATGGAAATAAAAATCAAGAAATCCCTTATCTTTTCGTGAAATCTTTTGCTCTTTCAAGCTCCTATACACTCAATTACCTTGATGGGAAAGCTTCGTTGCCGCCTTTGATGTTCATCGATGGCCACCGTATACAGGAAGAAACATGTATTTGTTTTTCGATGAACGACGTGTTGATATTCATCATACAGGAGACGTGGAAAGTAATTCTGAATTGAGAAAACCCAATCACGAATCTGCGATTAGAGGTCTACAAAAATAACAAGTTTCCATCGTTCAAGTTTGAACTCCTTGATTGGGTATGAAAGTATTGAAAAAGAATATTCTCATAGATACAGGAAAGTGCACAAAAAACGGCCAGGATTGTAACTTTTGAATTATTATAGATAGGGTTTTGAAAATTGGTGGGTAGCAAGTATACCAAATTGCTCATTTAATTGATTTTTCTTCTATCACTTCCAGGTTCACTAGAAAAGACCCCCACTTTTGATTTTTAAATGGGGCACCTTGTATTGTGTTCGATAATCGGTTAGGGATTATCATGACGAATTCAACGATACCGGGTTTGATAGGGTTATTTCAAACAATTACAAAGATACTATTTCCAGAAAAATCGATATATACAGGGTGGCATTGAAACAAGTGCAAATATTTCAAACACTGAGAAAGCTCGACGTGTACTATCGAATGGAACTAATAAAAAAAATGTAGGGATCGAAATGAAATTTGAGGTTAGACCCCTATTTACACCCAAAGTTCTACACTGTAGCAAATCTGACGTCACCTCTGTTCAAATTTCCATGCGGTAGGCACAATCACGCGGAGTTCAATCATTTAAATTGGCGTACTTGATTTTTTCCCGTATTTCGTTCAATTTTTTGGATGAAATTTCTCGTTGATTAGAAGAATTAGAAAAAATCTGATATCATGGGAATATTCCTTAGACTGTATCATATTAATGTGCTGAATATTTGCACTTTCAAAAACACCTTGTATAATGATGATATTCGGGCAGGTAAATAAACATACTAATGCTCCTTTCCATACGTAAACGGCTTTTCAGTGATCATGTTTCAAACAGGATGATGGGACGAATTTCTTCCGTTTAATGAAAGCATTTCTGACAGAGGTGCCAAATTCAATTGTTTTAGTAAATATTTAATCTGGTGCTTATTCTACATTATGAACTTTGGTGTTTTTGCCCTCATCATGGAAAAATCAAAGGAAAGAAAAGGAAATTCAATGTTTTAGGGATTTTGGAGCATTTTGAAACTTATATTTATATCTCCAAAACCATACCCCAAAAAAAATTGGAGTGCACCACTGGATTTTGCGTGAAATTCTCTATGGGGTTAGATTTTAATTTGATATTTTCGCTGAGAAACTTCGTACATATAGATATAGGGGGTTCAAAATGTATACATTTTCAAAATTTCACACAGGACCGCCCAAAGATAACTGAGAGATCACACAAAAGCATGCTGAAATCTACTGGATTACCTTAAGATCATTATCTGAAGATATATGCGTGATCTAGTTACTGGGGTCGGTCAATTTTCGTAAATAGGCACCCCATGCCATGCCTCTAATTTGAGTAAAATGCACAAATCGAAAAATAATTATTATGAAAGGAAAATATAAATTTCTTAAGAACCTGGCCTAACCATAGACATTATAAACAAAAAGTTAACCATGAAGCAAATCAAACGGTACGACAAAAAGCACACCTTGAGAAAACTGACTCATTTTATTTCATGGAGATTGAAGGCGCAATTCAAAAGAAAATTAGTAATCCTTGCGTGAGAAATATCAAATCACCAAAATGCGTCAGCTTCAAGATAATTTGAATGAGTTGTTCTATCAACAGAGAATGTATTTTATAATGCAAGCATGCAACAATAGGGAACTATAGCAAGTGGCCATAGAAAATGTTCCACCCAAGTTTTCTCGGACAGGTGGATTTCTTTTTGGCGGGGGACACAATTTTCGATTTTCAAATGGAACACCCTGTATTTCATTGCATCTTTAGATTCTCCCTGAAGAACTGATTTCATCAATGTATCACACTCAGGGTCTAGAGCGGGAATGATTACAGAGATATAGGGTGTTCAAAATCGAGATTTTTCAACTTTAGGGTATTTTTGTGTCGAAACTATTCATTATCGGTCAAAACGGCTTTCATGGCCCTATCATGACTTGTGATGTACTATCTAATGAGATTTAATTGAAAGAAATACAGGGTGGTTCAAGATTTAGAAGTCTGATGATCACCCGTATACATTGTACCATCAAAAAACACATCCAAAAATAAAAATTGGCGGGTCCGAACATTTTAACAAGAATCCAACGACTGAATTATAAATGAATTTAGACTTTGGGGAATCACTAATGTTAAAGATAAAAAATTATCAATTGATTATGTGTTAGGAATTTTCAAAAAACCCTATTACCCTGTAGAGTGAAGCAGCAGATTCAACATTTAGGCTCCTCTTTCTCAACAACGTTGTTAGAACAGATTAATAAGAATAGTTTATTTTTTAATTATCAAGGTACATCGCTACTGGATTTTTCAGAACTGAAATTAGGTTCACACTGTTGACATCTATACCTATATTCGTTTATCGCACTATTATTATTATAAATATCATTATATATATATTATAATTATTAGTATGGAAACAGGCGATATAAGGCAAAAGACAAGTTCCGTATAAAAACTTTTGTAATTAAACACTTTCGAGTAAAGAGTAACAGAGTAACAAAAATGGTACATTTCATATAAATACATAACAGATACTCCTGGAATATAATACATATAACCAGAATTAAGTTCCAAATATGATAAAACTGTTAGAGGAATTGGTCCTTTTCATATAGATAATTTTTGAAACTCGTGAATAACAACATTTTTTTACCAAAAACTGCAAACTGAAAATTTTTTGGTCATAATACCATCACTTCTAACTTAAAAAAGTAATGAGAATTTTCTGTTGGATGTAACAGTCGTTCCTGTAATATTATAAAATAAAATTGAGTTCATCAAATTATTATATAGAAGGTTACTATCATTCAACTTCAACTATTATGAGATGTAGAGAAAACCGTCCAACGCAACATAGGCTGATTTTTAACGTAGATAACAAATGTACAAGGATGGATATAAAACCATGAGGAACTTTTGTTTCTGTGACACAACATATGATTTCAAAAATATTTTCAACTCGAGAGCCTACAATATCTTGGTTGATAAGTGGTCAAGCTTACGAAAGAAATTGAATGAATATAATATATAGTGTTTGGATGTAAATTCCACACCTAACATTTTTCACCAATTAAAAGCCTGTATTTTGTGTTGTTATCATTGCAACTAAACAAATTTCCAGAAACTTCTTACTTCATTTTACTTGGTTCTTTGGGATTTTCTCTCCTCATTTCTATAAAATAAAAGTACTCGTATTATTTCAATATATTTGTAGAGGGACAAATCAGATGATTTGCCCCAAAATGTCACTGCGTTTAACAAATTTTTCTATCAGGGAATCTAAAAGAAAAATCCAGTAGCTTGTCAGTGACAATTTGTTTGAAAAAATTGTTGATTGAAAGAAATATAGATATATTGAAAAAATATCGAATTTGTACTTATCTTTGGACGTTTCGGGACCGATTCTGCTCCCGTTCTCAACATGTAAATGCAAATTATTTTTCTTTGAAAGTTGTGCTGCGTATATAGTTTGACACTTTTCAGTGTCATACTGATGTTGGCATATGAATGAGTGATTTTAGTCTACAAATGAGTTACAGGATGTTTTCATTAATTGATCTTGAATCTACCATTTTCAGAATCGGTCCCGAAACGTCCAAAGATAAGTACAAATTCGATATTTTTTCAATATATCTATATTTCTTTCCTTCAAAAATTTTTTCAAACAAATTGTCACTGACAAGCTACTGGATTTTTCTTTTAGATTCCCTGATAGAAAAATGTGTTAA